CCCTATTTAGGCCGAGTTATGTATGTGATAACTCATAGATCGGAAATAGCAAACTAGTTTAATAAACAAATATCGATGGTGCCATTTTGCAAGTGGAATTTACAAAACTACAAAAACGTTGACTTGAGATTTACTATTTAGGAGATTAGCAATACATTCAATACAAAAAACAAAACATGACCACTGAAGCTAAATAATTTCTTTTCTTTAGTATTTCAATTAATTACCAAACAGCAAAAGTTCTYTTTCTTTGCAATTAGGTGTATACAATTTTCATGCGATGATCATGATTGTAGAGTTTACGAACCCAAGCAATCAAGTGGTTTTACGATATTCCCTTAAGGTACTTTGTACAAATTGAACATGCTTTCGAATCATTGATTTACTTACTCAAAGACGCATCAGACTTTTTAGGTTTCCCTCTCTCGGATGGCGCGAAAGGTTCTTCTGGATCTTCTAATTCGTCAAAGTAGTCTTCAAATTCATCTGCTTCACTAGTGGAATTCCATCCATAATGACCATTCATTGGATCTTTAAAAAAAAATTACTTCTCAACTCAAACATGTTAAGGTCTGGGAGTTTTTTGCSGGARGGAGGGGGGTCTAAAACCCTGTAGTCGCTTACATTTCAAACCTTACAAAGATTGGCATGAGCATACACGACTTTCAAAAATGGCGCCAGTTCACGTCCACCTAAATTGGGGACTAGAGACTAATCATGGAAACGAGACCTCAAAGGCCTTCCATCAAGAAATCACTACGAAGATCGTATGTAGGCAGTGTCCAAACGTTTGAAAGATGTATTGGTATGTTATTTATAACAAAACACTCTTGCAAGGTACCATGGAAGCTCACTATACGRAGGCTGGCCTTGGAGACCTCGTTTTAGTGCTTTGTCCCCAGTGCCCTGGTCGACGACCGTGACACATCGCGCCATTTTTGAAAGTCGTGAATGTAGCTCGACTTCGTTAAGATTTCAAGATATGGCTTCCATTGATAGCAGGTACTTCTTTTGTTCTTACGGGATTATCCTGAGTTTTTTAATTTATGTTTAAATAAAGGTTAGATMTATCTACACCTAACCAAAAAAATTCTGCAACTTTCAATATATATATGTCTATTGTTTCCCTATTGTTTAATCTCTCAAGAACAAAAAACATATATATATTGAAAGTTGCAGAATTTTTTTGGTTAGGTGTATCTGTCAGAAGGCTGGAAAATAAATACAACATTCAGTGCACCTTCATATCCATGGGTTGCAGCTACGACTGCAAGGACCATAAAAGCCCAGGTATTCATCGCTTGCAGTCTGACTTACAGTTGAAAAACCAGTGCCTCTATAGAAAGAATGCCTTTTAGTTTAACAAAGAAAAGACAAATATTATATATATATATATATATAATATAAGTAGAATGAAATAGAACAAAACACCAACTTGAAGCTATAAAAACTCTGTTTATTGTATTTATAAAAACTCTGTTTATTGTATTTATAAAAACTCTGTTTATTGTATTTATAAAAACTCTCTTTATTGTATTTAT